AGCCACCTTGCAGCAGTAAAGCTGCTATACGGTGGTCGCCAACTGGTTATTGTCGGAAGCTACTATACATACACTATATTGCCAAAAGTACTAGGACTCCCCTCCGAATAATTGGATTCAGGTGTTCCAATCACCTCCATGGCCACAGGTGTATAAAATCAAGTACCTAGGCATGCAGACTGCTTCTACAAACATTTGTGAAAGAATGGGTCGCTCTCAGGAGCTCAGTGAATTCAAGCGTGGCACCGTGATAGGTTGCCACCTGTGCAATAAGTCCATCCGTGACATTTCCTGGCTACTAAATATTCCACGGTCAACTGTTAGTGGTATTATAACAAAATGGAAGCAACTGGGAACAACAGCAACTCAGCCACAAAGTGGTAGGTCACGTAAAATGACAGAGCGGGGCCGCATGCGCATGTCGCGCCAACTGTCTGCAGAGTCAATAGCTAAAGACCTCCAAACTTCATGTGGCCTTCAGATTAGCACAACAACAGTGCATAGGGAGCTTCATGGAATGGGTTTCCATGGCTGAACAGCTGCATCCAAGCCTTACATCACCAAGTGCAAAGCGTCAGATGCCATGGTGTAAAGCACGCCACCACTGGACTCTAGAGCAGTGGAGATGTGTTCTCTGGAATAACGAATCATGCTTCTCTGTCTGGCAATCCGATGGACGTGTCTGGGTTTGGTGGTTGCCAGGAGAACGGTACTTACGTCACTGCATTATGCCAAGTGTAAAGTTTGGTGCAGGGGGGATTATGGTGTGCGGCTGTTTTTCTGTGAGTTGGGTTTGGCCCCTTAGTTCCAGTGAAGGGAACTCTTAAGGCATCAGCATACCAAGACAATTTGGACAATTTCATGCTCCCAACTTTATGGGAACAGTTTGGGGATGGCCCCTTCTTGTTCCAACATGACTGCTCACCAGTGCACAAAGCAAGGTCCATAAAGACATGGATGAGTGAGTTTGGGGTGAAGGACTTGACTGTCCTGCACAGAGTCCAGACCTCAACCTGATAGAACACCTTTGTGATGAATTAGAGCGGAGACTGTGAGCCAGGCTTCCTCCCCCGACATCAGTGCCTGACCTCACAGATGCGCTTCTGGAAGAATGGTCAAACATTCCCATAGACACACTCCTAAACCTTGTGGATAGCCTTCCCAGAAGAGTTGAAGCTGTTATAGCTGCAAAGAGTGGGCCAACTCAATATTGAACCCTACGGACTAAGACTGGGATGCCATTAAAGTTAATGTGCCTGTAAAGGCAGGCGTCCTAATACTTTTGCCAATATAATGTATGTAAATTTTCACTCTGGATTACTCCGCAGATCTGGAATAAATCACACCAAGATTCAAGTAAGAATCCACATCTCTTGTATTTAGATAATATTTGCTTATCCCAGAGTTCAGCCTTAGACTGCATTCACATCTGAGCGTTTGTAGCGCGAAGCTCGAAGCTCCAAAACGCCCAGGGAGAAAAAAAAAAATCAATATTACTCTATGGAGATGGTTCACATCTCCACTCCACGTAGCCTGAAGCAGAATGCCTGAAGCTGAAAAAAGTTTTGGAGCTACTCTTGTAGCTCAATTTGGGCAGATGTGCATGTTTTTGGTGTGTTTTTATTCCCATAGCAGAGAATATAAACATGCGATTGGTGCGTGTATTGCATGCATTTTGTGAGATTTTCTGCTCAAATGAAAAAATGTAAAAAAAAAAATAGTAATAGTATATGAATAAATAAATGTAAAATAAATACACATATAAATAAAAAATTCAGGATAAAAAATTATAAATAAATAAATAATAATTAACCCCTAACCTTAGGGGATTAGGGGTTAATTATGTGTTAATACCTAGTATTTATTTATGATTATTTTTTTTTACTTGTGTATTTATTTTACATTTATTTATTCTATTTATTAATATTATTATTATTACTACTCTATAAATAAATACATAAATAATGTGAAAATAATATGTAAAGTACTAACATACTGTAAATAAATAAATAAGAAGAAAAATAATAAATAAAATACTAATCCCAAACCCTAATCCTAACCTAACCCTAACTGTAACCCCTTACCCTAAAAAAAACAAAAAATAAAAAATGAATAATAATAATAATAATAATAAAAACTAAAGCGGATGGAAAAACTAAAAAAGAAAGAAAAACCTAGCAATAAATGATGCAACAGATGATATTTTTCGCTATTGGCTAATAAAAAAAACACCAAAATTCAAAAATGCCTAAAAACACTGTATGAAAACGTGAAAAAATTCGCACAACAAAACGCAACAAAAACGCTACGTTCATATGTGAATGGAGCCTTAAGGTAACCCAACTCGTCTGCACATATTTTTTTTAACTTTATGAGTTCCCCCTAAAAGCCAGAGACCCCTGATCCTCAAATCTTGATTTAATCCAACCCCGTCCCAACTCCTGCAGCTCCTTATTGGTTCTTTAAAGTAAATATAACCCCCTAAATGAATGGCACTTAGTTTGATTAAAGTATAACTAAAGTACTGGTGACAACCAGGATTCCTTTGCTTTGGTGATACAGTATTTCTTCTCACTTCTTATTTTGGCTTTGGGACAGGAAGTGAAGGGTTATCTCCTTAATGGGACAGGAGATGCAAAAAGTAACAGGTTTAGGAGCAGGGGTGGACTGACAACTCATGGGGCCCCCAGGCAATAGGGGATCATGGGGCCCCTGTGTCCTTGCCCAAACTCAAAAAAGCCTATGAAAAAGATACCAGGGGCATCTCATGGGGCCCCCTATTGACCCCGGGCCGCGTTTCCAAATGGTCAGTCCACCCCTGTTTAGGAGTAACCCTCCCTTACTCTATTCAGAATTTAAAAAAAACCGCCTTTGGTTCTACTTTAAGTACTGTATATCACTTCTTGGCCCCCCACCCAGTGCTTGTTGGTTGACTCATCTGATTTTGACTAGGTGGACCTGAGTGTGCCTTACCCCTTACCCTTTTCAGGAGTCTTGGGCACCATGGGGGTCAGGGAGGGGTCCTAAAAAATGCATTTCAGCATGCAGTATATTTATTTAAAATATTTTGAATATGGCCAAAAGTTTAGTATTTCAAATATATGTCTGGGAATATATATTTGGTAGGAATATTTTTTAAATATATTTCAAATATATTTTTCTTCTATGTGGGTCTGAAATTACATTACAGTGTTAAAGCTTATATGGCACAATGGCAGAGCATTGCCACCCTATACCAGGAAGAGGTTGAACAAGCAGCACAGTGGCTTAATGGTTAGCACTTCCACCTGGCAGTACTAGGGTCATTGGGTAAAATACCAACCACCGCACCACCTGCTTGGAGTTTTTTGCATGTTCTTTCTGTGCCTGCATGGGTTTCCTCCAGGTACTCTGGTTTCCTCCCACACTCCAAAGATGTGCTGGTAGGTAAATTGGCCCTAGTATGTGTATGTATGAATGTGAGTTAGGGACCTTAGATTGTACACCCCTTGAGGGTTAGGGACTGATGTAAATGTACAATATATATGTAAAGTGCTGCATAAATTGATGGTGCTACATAAGTACCTGAAATAAATTAAAAAAAGAAATAAACAAGGATCTTCATGGCAGGATCAACGGGTGTTAATAGAAAGCTGTTCTTCTAAAAATATTGAAAAAGATTTGTAGACTGTAAATACAGTATGAGATTTTGGAGGCTGGGTTTACATCGACTTTAATTGATGGTCAGCCTCCTGTTGGTAACGGAGGTGGGTCAGCCCCCCAGATACAGAGAAAGTCAACATTTGCATATGTGAGCTATGGTCCTGGGGACTTACGTGGTTAATGCGTTCATCATAAGCTGCTGAGACAGGTATTCTGCTTCAGGTCCCTTTATTGTTTCTGTGCCCTGATTTCCAATCCTGCATCAGATGATGGAAAGAATCACTAGTTGTACAACAGTGCCCTCTGCTGCCTCAATGTCAGAGTGGAATTACAGCCACAGCTAAAAAATAAAGTGTAGACAATTCTTAAAAAATAGCCATTGGTGAACATAACAATAATCCTGCTTACATTTTTTGTCAGTGAAACAACCTTGTCATGGTGCTAAAGTGTTACTAAACCCACAACAGTAAAAATCAGTCTGTATATGCAGTAAAGCATGCTTGTTATACTCATTGTGGAACCTAAGGGGTTAATCCTCTGCATTGTGTGAAAAGGCTGTTTGATCCTGTCTTCTCTGCTCCTCCTCTTGGTCAAATCTCCTGATAAGACAGACTGAACCATAGCCATTCTGCACATGCTCAGTTTTGCAAGAGGTTTTTTTTCTTGGGAGAGTGCATGTGATCAGCACAGGGCCAATCAGCACTGTCCAGACAGAGGTCATGGATTTTGTATCCTCCTAGAGCAGAAAGAAAACTCTTCCTACAAGCTTTAACCAGTGCTCTGCTGAAGTCACAAGACTGCTCTAACTGCTGATGAGAAAAGGTATTTAGCAGTTTATATTCACTAAAAAATTGCATTTCCACGCTCTGTGTACTGTGGGAGATCAGATATAGTGGATGCAGGGTCCGGGGTTTAGTAACACTTTAAAGCCCAGGTCTAGGCTATTAAAAAAAAAAAGAGTGGTCCCTGATCAGTAGTGAAAAAAAAAAAAAAAGACAGCCAAGTTGCAACATTTACTTCATTCCAGAGCTGTCACCAGCAATTCTGCTTTTCTGCAACATAGGAGAAGAGCCATTGCATTATGTGACTGTTCAGAAGACATCAGAGAAAGGTAAGTATATTGAATAAAAAGACAATGCATATACATTTACCACTTGTGGGGGGAGACCAGAGCCTGGATTTGGGCTTTAACAAGCCTCTGCTGCCCATCAGGTGACATCTAGTAAATGTAGCAGAGGATACTTTGAAGCATTACTAAACCCACAACAGTAAAATCAGTCTGTATATGCAGTAAAGCAAGCTTGTTATACTCACTGTGGAACCTAAGGGGTTAATCCTCCCCATTGTGTCCCCAATCCATCTGCTCATAGTACAGAGCTCTAGAAAAGTCCCTCTGCACATGCTCAGTTTAGTGTATATTGCTATAGAGTTTATTTTTTCTTTTGGAGAGTGCATGCGATCAGCTCAGGGCCAATCAGCACTGTCCAGAGGGTCAGGGGTTATGCAGCCTCATAGGACAGTCAGAGGAGAATGAAAACTCTTCCTACAAGATTTAACCAATGCTCACCTGGAAGATGATAGAGGTCACAAGAAGACTGCTCTAACTGCTGATGAAAAAAATTATTTAGCAGTTTATATTTACTAAAATAATTGCGTTTCCATGTGTACTGTGGGAGACCAGATATAGTGAATGCAGGGTCCTGGGTTTAGTAACACTTTAAGGTTCGATTCACCCTTTGGTTATCTGCCGTGGTGTGTTAATATGGGTTGCATTAAGGAAGCCTATTCCTTTTTAATGCAACAGACGAAAAAAATGCGTGTGATCCTTTTTTTTTAGTAAAATGGCACACCTCAGGACACGATTTGTTCATTAGTGTGCACTAAGGTGCCATTTACAAGCCCAGTGCAGGTGCATTATTATTATTATTATTATTATACAGGATTTATATAGCGTCAACAGTTTGCTCAGCACTTTACAATATAACGGGAGACAATACAGCAACAATACAGTTCAATACAAGAGGGATAGGAGGGCCCTGATCCTTGGAGCTTACAATCTAAGAGGGAGGGGTTGGTGGTACAAAAGGTAATAACTGTGGGGGATGGACTGGTAGGAGGAGTAGAAGATTCCATTATTAGCTGAGGGCAGGATAGGCTTCCCTGGAGAAAGAGGTTTTCAGAGATCACCTAAAAGTGAGCAGAGTAGGCGACTCTGATAAATTGGGGTAGAGAGTTCCTGAGGATGGGGAAAGCTCTGGAGAAGTCCTGGAGATGAGCATGGGAGGAGGAGACAAGGGAGCTAGAGAGCAGGTGGTCGTGCGAGGAGCAGAGAGTACGGTTTGGGTGATATTTAGAGACAAGATTGGTGATGTAATTTGGGACAGAGTTATAAATGGCTTTATATGTTATTGGTAATGTTATTTTTAAATGGTTTTTAAATGTTTGAATTTTATCCGTTGGGCAATGGGAAGACAGTGGAGGGATTGGCAGAGAGGGATGGCAAATACGGAACGGTTGGTAAGGTGGATGAGTCTGCGATGAGGGGATACCCTGCGATGAGGTCGGCCAATGAGGAGGGAGTTACAATAGTCCAAGGAGAGAGATAACAAGGGAGTGAATAAGTTGCTTAGTAGTTTCCAAGGTTAGGAACGGGCGTATCTTGGAGATCTTGGAGATGTTGCGGAGGTGAAGTCTACAAGATCTGGAAAGCGATTGGATTTGGCAGTAACAAAAAATTCATGCAGTTTCTGGGCTGCCAAACAGGAAGAAATGGCAGCATTTACTTTCCCAGCATACTGTATATTCCTCATCCTGGTTTATAATCTGAACATATTTATATGTTTGGGAGATTATTTTTGCAAATCATCAAGGAGTGACATCCATTATAATCTTTTTTTTTTTAAATATTCATTAAAACTTCCTTTTTCCTTCAATATGATTCCTTCCTTATATATAAACTTTAAGTCTAAAATGTCCTCATATCATAGACGGCTGTATACCTGTGAGGATATGTTTAGATGTGCAACCACAACCAAATTGCTTTTCAGAGGAGTTTGACAGGTGGTGCGGAGATGGTATGACATCTGTTTTAACCCTGTAGGGGGCTCATTTAGACTTGCAGTTGATGGGCATTAAAAATGCAGCTGAGCTGTGTTTTTAGAACCCCCCAACCACCCCTCCCTTAAGCTGCCATAGCAGCAGACAGGGGATTTTAGTATGGTATGGTTGTAATGCTTTGCTTCTCGCCCATGGCAAAACCTACAGCTCCTGCGACGTTCATTATGGTCAGTCCCCAAACATGACTCTTTCAAGCAAAAAAGTGCTGCAAATGCCCAGTAACTGTGTGCAATGGAATTGGTTACAGTGTATTGGTGAGGCATTTACGGGGTTAAAAAACAGGTGGTGAGGGTTGTCATATTGCCTCCTCACCAACTGTCAAATGGCAAAATTGCCACGCCTCTGAAAAGTGATCTGCATTCAGAGGCATGGCAAACTTGCCACACATAGCCTTACAGAGGTTGTAAAGGCCCAAGGTTTTTTACCTTAATGCATTCTATCCATGACGGTAAAAAAATCTTCTGTGTGTAGCATCCCCCCAGCCCCCTCAATACTTACCTGAGCCCCATCACGATCCAGCGATGTGAACGATAGCCTCGGCCAGGGTCGGACTGACCATTTGGAAACTCTGCCCGAGGGCCCGGGGTCAGTAGGGGGCCCCATGAGATGCCCCTGGTACCTTTTTCATAGGCTTTTTTGAGTTTGGGCAAGGGGCCCCATGATCCAATACACAGGAGCCCCATGATCCACTATTGCTCGGGGGCCCCATGAGTTGTCAGTCCACCCCTAGCCAAACAGGAGAGAGAGGGGGCAGGGCCAAGCCACGGCTCCATGTGTGAATGGACACACAGAGCAGTGGGCGCCCCCATAGCAAGCAGCTTGCTGCGGGGGCACCCAACAAGAGGGAGGGGCCAGGAGAGCCTGCGGGGGACCTGAGAATAGGAGAATCCAGGCTGCTCTGTGCAAAACTACTGCACACAGTAGGTAGGTATATGATATTTGTTATCCCCCCCCCCCAAAAAAAAAAAAAACCCTTTAGAATCGCTTTAAGAAGTATCATATTCCTGATATCTGCCTGCTGTACCATGTACTTGTATGAAAAGGTATCCTGTTCTCTTTGTGTTGCTTCTTTTGTGTGAAATCCCTGGTGTTCCTGCCAGTCCCTCTGCTTTCCTAATAAAATTGACCACACTAGGCATGAGCACAGTGTGGTCAGTTCTCTAGCTGTGCTGGGAACTGAGTGTGCTCTCCTCCGATGATCAGACTTCTGCTGACACACCCCCTGTCCTGCACAGTCATATAATGGGAAGACCAGTGTACTGCTGTTTCTCCCACCCCCATCTCTCAATAAGGCTGAGAAAAGAGGGAATGAGATCACTTATAAAAAAGGGGGAAAGTCTTTTTATCTAGAAAAATGGTGGCAGGTTCAATTTTAACTGATATAAATATATATAGTTTGCATTTTTGGGCCACTTTTCTTTGTACCTATCCTGACATCTTGAAAAAAAATGAGATCTTAACCATTTCAATACCGGGCAATTTTACACCTTCCTGCCCAGGCCATTTTTCAGGTTTCAGCGCTCTCACACTTTGAATGACAATTGCGCGGTCATACAACACTGTACCCAAACTAAAATTTTATCATTTTCTTCACACAACTAGAGCTTTTTTTTGGTGGTATTTAATCACCGCTGGGGTTTTTATTTTTTGCTAAATTAACAAAAATATACCAAAAATTTTGAAAAAAAAAAACAAATTTTTCTTTGTTTCTGTTATAAAAGTTTACAAATAAATAATTGTTCTTCATAAATTTAGGCCGAGATGTATTCTGCTACATGTCTTTGGTGAAAATAACCCAAATTAGGATGTATTTTTTAGTTTGTAGGAAAGTTATAGAGTTCACAAACTATGGTATAGATCTGAATATTGATCAATCCTGAAGTACTGACAGCCAATCTAATTGGTCCAAGAATGTCAGAACAGTACAGATATCCCCCAAATGACCCCTTTTTGCAGAGTAGACAGTCCGACGTACCTCATAAGAGGCATGGCGAGTTTTTTGAAGTTGTATTTTTATGTCAGAATTTTTCGGAAAATGAAGAAATTAAAATAATTATTTTCACTATTTTTTTTTTTACATACTGTCACCAGTGCAGTACAGCGTCATCATATAACTGGCATGGCAGTTAACAGGGACACTGACTGGTGACAGTATTAAAAAAAAAATATATATATATTTTTTTTAAAAAATTTTTTATTTTTTTATTATATTTAATTTTTTATTACATTTTTTTAAATTTTTTTTAAAATTTTTTTTCATATTTTACTATGACCAAAGTAGTACAATGTTACCATAGTAACACTGTACTACTTTGGGGAAGTGATCAGTATTTTTTTTTTTTTTTTTACACAATTTGCTTATAGCAAAGAATTACTTTGCTATAAGCAAGCATTTACCTGAATGAAATCGATTCATTCAGCTTTTTTTTTTTTTTTTTTTTTTTTTTTTTTTTTTGTGCTTAGCTGTGATTTGGTCACAGCTAATCACATGACATGTGCATGTGATTAGCTGTGACCATTCACAGCTAGGCACTAGTATACAATGGATGGCATCATGAATGAAGCCATCCATTGTATACAACTGTCATGTGACCTGCTGTGATTGGTCACAGCAGGTCACATGGTACCAGCAACGGGAGCCGGTACTCGGATCTGTCATCGGCCGTGCCCGAGGTGCACGGCCCGTGATAGATCCCGCTGCTGCGCCGCTCTGCATTACCGCAAACGGCGCATGTGCGGGCGCACGCCAAATGGCGTGCACCCGGAATGAAGAGGCACATCTGAAGCCGCCAAACGGCCATTGGCCGGGCGGCTAATGGTTAAAGATAGACCTCTGCCCTCCCTCAGTTGAAGGCAAAGTGGAGTTCCAGCCGTTTTTGTGTTTAAAAGTCAGCAGCTACAAAAACTGCAGCTGCTGACTTTTAATAAACACACACTTACCTGTCCCAGGGTCCAGAGATGTGCTCACCTGCGCCATCCCTTCTCTGCCTCTTCTCTCCCCGGTGCCGACATCCAGTGGTGTCCCTAGGTGGGTGCGGGGGGTGCGCCAGGGGCAGACTGACCATTTGGAAACTCGGGCACTGCCCAAGGGCCCGGGGTCAGTAGGGGGCCCCATGAGATGCCCCTGGTACCTTTTTCATAGGCTTTTTTGTAGTTTGGGCAAGGACACAGGGGCCCCATGATCCCCTATTGCCCGGAGGCCCCATGAGTTGTCAGTCCACCCCTGGGGTGCGCGCAGCACTGGGTGACACCTTTCTCATGGGGTGACACCAAAAAGTTTTAAAGCAAGCCGACGATCCCCGCAAGATGGATTGGATCTGCGGTAACACGTTGTGTCACCCCTCCAGAGGTGAGCGGTCCCTGTCTCCCCAGTCTGCAGATCCGATCCATCTTGCGGGGATCGTTGGCTTGTAACCTATACGGGGTTAATTAATCTTGCATCACCGGTCCAGGGGGTGCGACGGGGACATAGGGAAGGGAAGAGCCAGGCTGTGTGTGCACGACAGGGACCGCCAATTTCTGGAGGGGTGACACCACGTGTGGCACCGGTGACACCAACCCTAGCTATGCCCCTGCCCGCATCTCATCTGTGAGCACCAGGCTGTGACAGCTTGCGGCTTCACAGCCGGGTGCCCACTGCGCATGCGCGAGTCGCGCTGCGCATCCTGATTGGTCCAGAAGTCTTCTGGGACCTATGAAAGTTCTCAGGAGACTGCGGGAGGAAGGAGGGAGCCAAACCTACGGCGATCTGAGCCGGAAGTGGGAGCAGGTGTCTGTCAAAACCAGGCAAACAAGTGGAGCTTTCGTTTTTGAGCAGAACTCTGTTTTATCAAAAATGCCAAACAGATAAAAGATCTCTGCAAAAAATAAATGAGATGTCAGAATGTTAATGAATATGAGTTAATAATCTCCGTGGTAGCACTTTATTTCTTTGCATCTGATAAATCATAAAAATTGCCAGGCATTACATTGTGTATTGCTGTCACGTTAACATAAATTATTGTAGAGGGCTTGGAGACCAGTAACCAGACAGTTGTAGCAAAAAATCGATTCAACACCTTTAATTAGGAAAAAAGTCCACATTTTTAAAAGAATTTACAATGGTAAGGTGTCTGTTCATGCAGCATGAGTGACATCTAATGGTCAGCTTAAGTTATAGCAGCCCACAGAGATTGTTTAGTCCATCCTATAGTTCTAAGCAGGGGTAGGCAACCTTAACCCCTTCCCCTCCAGAGGATTTACCCCCCTTCCTGACCACGCCATTTTTTGCATTACGGCGCTGTGTTACTTTAACTGACAACTGCGCGGTCACTCAACACTGCACCCAAATGAAATTTACGTCCTTTTTTTCCCACAAATTGAGCTTTCTTTTGGTGGTATTTGATTGCCTGTGCGTTTTTTTTTTTTAATTTTTTACCGTATAAAAACAAAAGGCCGACAATTTTGAGAGAAAAACAATATTTTTGACTTTTTGCTATTAAACATGTCCAGTAAAAAAATTTAAAAAATCAAATTTCATCATAATGCTAGGCCGAAATGTATTCTGCTACATGTCTTTGCTAAAAAAAATGCAAATACGTGTAAATTAATTGGTTTACGTGAAAGTTATAGCATTTACAAATGGCGGTATAGATTTGAAAATTGGAATTTTTAGTTTTTTAATTTTTACTAGTAATGGAGGTGATCAATGACTTATAGCAGGACTACGGCAGGCATTCTGACACTGGGGAGAATTGACTTGGTGTCACTGACATCTCCAGTGACACCAATACGGTGATCAGTGCTAAAAAAAAAGCAGTGACATTGTATTAATGGCACTGGGCAGGAAGGGGTCAACATGAGGGGCGATCAAAGGGTTAACTGTGTGCTGTTTTACTTTGGCCTTGTGTTTGTGCTTCACTGTAATCACACTGCTTTGGATGGTTGTAATATGCACAGCCATCCAAAGCAGTGTGCACGAGCTGACAGGGAGGAGAACTGTATTGTTTACATACAGTTCTCCTCCCCGTTGGAGATCATCGCCAATCACCAGTGATTGACAGCCGCGGCCATGAATGGCGGTGCGGGTAGGGCACACGCGTGCCTCGCGTGCGCCCCCCTACTCGGAAATGAAAAATCACGTACATATATGTGATTTTGCCTCCCCGTGCCGCCCTGTAGCAATATATCTGCTATAGGGCAGTCAGGAAGCGGAGGTAGAGATCTACCTGAACAACATTGGAGAAGTCAAAGATCTCCAGGCACAGTGTTACCTCCTCACACCCAATTTAAACCTTCAATTGTTGTACAACCGGGTAGCAATCGTGTGCGTTACACGGCAATCATGGGTTTCAATCAGAGGAGGTGATATGTTGCCTTCTCATCACCTGTCAAACACACTTGGATTATTTTTCTGAGGAGCAGCAGTGCCTGCTCCACTTGTGAATGAGCCCTTATACCCCGGTCACATCGGGTGCGACTTGGCATGCGATTTGCATGCTATGCGACTTTCAAATCGTATGCCAAGTTGCACCCTATTGTCCGCAATTATAGTGGTTATATCAGTGCGGTTCTGACTTGGTCGGAGCCGCACCGATTTCTAAAGTAGTACATGCACTTCTTTTGGTGCGATTTGCATAGACATCTGTGTCAGATGTCTTGCAAATCTGAGCTCAAATTGGTATTTCCCCCGACTTTGAAATTTTGCGACTTCACTGTAAGTTGCACAATTTCAAAGTCAGGCTTGATGTGACCGGGGTGTTAGGGTAGGTTCACCTATGCAGTTTCCATTTGAGCTGTTTCTGCATTACATTTTGTGTTGTGCTTTGTGTTTTTGCACCTGTGTTTTTTTGCTGCATTTTTTATGCATTTTGCGTTTTTTTTTTCTTGTTGCTAGGCAGATTTAAAACACAAAACGTATCAAAAACAATTTAAAACCGCATTACATGCTTTTCTGAAGCATTTCCATTTAAGTCTATAGAACCAAAACCACAACTTTTTGCGTTAAAAAAAGTCCCTAACCCTTTCCAAAAAATGCACCAGGTGAAAACATGCAGATGTGAATGTGTCCCATAGGAAATCATGTTAAATGGACTGTAGTGCGTGTCTGCAAAACGCTGCGGGAAATGCTTAGGTGTGAAACTAGGGTTAGTTGCATTCAGCAGTGGCACCCTTAAGGCTCATTCACACATACAGTGGGGGGTGGTAAAATCCCTACCTCCTTTGATGTTGAGACATGCCGCAGCAGGAATTAAACCCCCCTGTTGCTTTTGGTAGGTGCTACCGTCTGCCATTTGCGACCTATTCAAGTAAATGGGGTAACTCTGCAAGCGTCCCGCAACTGCATACTTCTGCCGGGTCCAGTGTGTTAAAGCGGGTGGTGAGAAAGCAACGCAATGCTGCCTGATTTAACCCCTTGTTTGCTGTACTGCACAAGGTTGCAGGGCACTTGCAGAGCAGCCTCACTCACTTGAATGGGTCATGCTTGGCAGGTGTTACACCCACCAACTATGACGGGCATATAAGTCCTTCTGTGGCTGCGACATGTGTACACCCCCTAGCCACTGTACTTAAACACTTGCCTACAGGGCACTTATACCCCCTTCCTGCCCAGGCCAGTTTTCAGCACTGTTGCACTTTGAATGATAATTGCGCGGTCATGCAACACTGTACCCATTTCAAATTTTTATCATTTTTTTGAGACAGATAGAACTTTCTTTTGGTGGTATTTAATCACCTCTGGGTTTTTTATTTATTGCTAAACAAACCAAAAACAACTGAAAATTTTGAAAAAAAAAAGTTTTTTCTTAGTTTTTGTTATAAAAATGTTGTAAATAAGTGATTTTTCTCCTTCACTGATGTGTGTTAATGAGGCTGCAGTGATGGGCACTGATAGGCTGCACTGATGGGCACTGATGAGGAGGCACTAGTAGGTGGCACCGATGGGCATTGACAGACATCACTGATGGGCACTGAAAGGCAGCACTCATATATGGCACTGATAGGCGGCACTGACTGGCACGGATAGGCGGCACTGACTGGCACTGTTAGGCAGCACTGACAGGCACTTAGAGGCAGCACTGACTGGCACTGATAGGTGGTACTGATTGGCAGCACTGATAGGTGGCACAGACTGGTATTGATAGGTGGCACTGACTGGCAATGAAAGGCAGCTCAGATGGGCACTGATATATTGCATTGATGTGCACTGATGGGCACTGGCAGGTGGCATTGATGGGCAATGACAGGTAGCACTGCTGGGGCTACACTGATCATCAGGGCACACTGATCATCAGTGCCCTGATGATCAGTGTAGATGTCCCCTTTGAGGAATGCTGATTACCACACCACCGACCTAGGGACACAGCGCACCACCAATCGCCGCGCTGCGCGCTCCCAAGCCACGCATGCGCGGTTAGAGTGGGAGGATGTCATAGAACGAGAGAACCGCCTTGCGCGCCCGTCATTACCTTATATGGCAGGTGGGAGGTGGTTAAACAGTTGCGGTTGGGGCAGGGGTGGCAACAACATGTCAACTGTGGGGTTTTACCACCCCCCCAAAAACAGCAAATATAAATGAGCCCTTACTGTTCTATAAGGCTACTTTCACACTGATGTGCTGCAGTTTACCTGCACCATGCATCTGCGACTTTCCTGGGTTAATTGCACTTTGCCATAGACTTCTATTATATCCTGCAGGTGTGGTGCATTTTCTGAAAGCTCACCAAAACTCCTGCATTCAGAAAGTGAACCAAACCGACAGGATATTTATTTATTTCAGGTACTTATATAGCGCCATCAATTTACATATATATTAAACATTCACATCAGTCCCTAACCCTCAAGGGGCGTACAATCTAAAGTCCCTAACTTACATTCATACATATACATACTAGGAACAATTTAGACAGGATCCAATTCACCTACCAGCATGTCTTTGGAATGTGGGAGGAAACCAGAGTACCCGGGAAAACCCACACAGGCACAAGGAGAACATGCAAACTCCAGGCAGGTGGAGCCATGGCTGGGGTTCAAAACAGCAACCCTAGTACTGCCAGGCAGAAGTGCTAACCATTTAGCCACTGTGCCACCTAATAGAAGTCTATGGCTAAGCGCAGCAAACTCGCAGGTACACTGCACTGCACCCGTGGTGTGGGGAAACCGCAGCACGTCAATGTGAAAGCAGCCCTGTACTGTTATACCCAGTGTATTGCTGCACACTGACCTGAAGATATTTCCTGCTGCTGGCATCACTCTGGAGACTGAGAGCTGGGATAAGAGGTGGAGTGCAGTTGGTATCACTCCGCCTGGGACAGGAGCCGACACTACAAAGGAGGGATCGGCTTATGTGGCTCTTACTCCCTACTACAAAATCAAGCTCCAACTTTACAAGTAGTCCCTCTGCAATGCACTCTCACCCGCAATCCCAAACTGCGATCTACCAGTCACCTGGCGCTGTGATGCTGCATGCTGCTGACCCTCATCCTACAGTATGTCCTCAGATTTCATGAAAAAAAAACCCCAAAACATCATTTTTTTACTGTGTTTTGTTCTTTGTAGGCCTCATTCCGTTTTCGGTAAACAGTAGAATGATGTGCTTTAACCGAAAAGCAAAGTACATTTTGGCAAACTGTTGCTTTTTTATGTCTCTGTGTCAGAGGGGTCCAGACAATCTGATGCAAATTTAACTGACCACCAAAATTAAAATTTTAAACACTTGTTTTGTATAAACATGTGGACCCTTCCCAGAAAAGCAAATATAAATCAGCTAACTTCCCATACCTGATTTCGCTTCATAACATGCTTCTTGAAAAAGTATTCATAAGGACCCCACATTTTAAGTTCTATGCAACCAAAAACGTAAATGTACCATTGAAAGATTTTGGACGCAAACCCAGCTGTGATAGACCAACACAAATGTGGCACATAATTGTGAAGTGGAAAGAAAATTGCAAATGGTTTTCAAAATTTTTTTACATATACAAAGTGAAAAGTGTTCTCTGTGTGCATTTGTATTCAGCCCCCCCCCCCCCTGGAGTCAATACTTTTTAGAGCCCCCTTTTCGCTGCAATTACAGCTGCAAGTCTTTTTGGGGTTGATGTCTCTCACCAGCTTTAGCACATCTAGAGAGGCTTTCAGAAATCTCTGTTACTTGCCATTCTTCTTTGCAAAATAAAGGGTGCTCAAGCTCTGTCAGATAAACATGGATGGAGAGTGTCTGATGAAAATATCAGCAATTTCGGCCATCAAAATTTTTTTACATATAAATATGTGAAAAGTGTGGTGTGCTTGCCAGCCCCCTTTCGCTGCAATTACAGCTGCAAGTCTTTTTGGGGATGTCTCTACCAGCTTTTGCACATCTAGAGAGGGAAATCTCAGATTGGATGGAGAGTGTCTGATGTCAAGTCTCCATTGGATTTAGGTCTGGACTGTGACTGGGCCATTCTAACACATAAATACGCTTTGATCTAAAACCATTCCATTGTAGCTCTGGCTGTATGTTTGGGGTCGTTGTCCTGCTGGAAGGTGAACCTCCTCCCCAGTCTCAAGTCTTTTGCAGACTCTAACAGGTTTTCTTCTAAGATTGCCCTGTATTTGGCTCCATTCATCTTCCCATCAACTCTGACTAGCTTCCCTGTCCCTGCTGAAGAAAAGCATCCCCACATCATGATGCTGCCACCACCATGTTTCACGGTGGGGATGGTGTGTGTTTTAGGATGATGTGCAGTGTTTAGTTTTCCGCCACACATAGTGTTTTTCTTTTAAGTCAAAACCTTCAATTTTGGTCTCCTCTGAGCACAGCCCCATCTTCCACGTTTGCTGTGTCCCCCACATGGCTTCTCGCAAACTGCAAACGGGACTTCTTATGGCTTTCAATAATGGTTTTCTTTCTTGCCACTCTTACATAAAGGTCAGATTTGTGGAGTGCATGACTAATAGTTGTCCTGTGGACAGATTCTCCCACCTGAGCTGTGGATCTCTGCAGCTCCTACAGAGTTACCATGGGCCTCTTGGCTGCTCTCCTTGCCCGGCCTGTCAGTTTAGGTGAACGGCCATGTCTTGGTAAGTTTGCAGTTGTGCCACACTCTCCTTTTTCAAATGATGGATTGAACAGTGCTCTATGAGATGTTCAAAGCTTGGGATATAGTTTTAAAACCTAACCCTACTTTAAACGTCTCTACAACTTTATCCCTGACCTGTCTGGTGTGTTCCTAATAATGTTATCTAACAAAATCTCTGAGGGCTTCACAGAATAGCTGTATTTATACTGAGATTAAATTACACACAGGTGGACTCTATTTACTAATTATGTGATTTCTGAAGGCAAATAGTTCCACTAGATTTTAGTTAGGGGTATCAGAGTAAAGGGGGCTGAATACAAATGCACCCAACACTCTTAAGATATTTATTTGTAAAAAAATTGAAAACCATTTCTCATTTTCCTTCCACTTCACAATTATGTGCCACTTTGTGTTGGTCCATCACATCAAATGCCAATAAAATATATTTACATTTTTGGTTGTAACATGACAAAATGTTTAAAATTTCAAGGGGTATGAATACTTTTTCAAGGCACTGTAATGTCTTGTGGTTTTTATATACACAAGCTTCATACTCATCAGCAAGTCAAATGTGGCCTTCATCAAGCATCATACTTTCAGACTGAGCTGCTTATAAGATGCTTTTGCCATGTGTTTTTACATTGTTATACAATAGGTTATGTAGAGGAATAAAATCAGTTAAGTTAACATTTTTCTGAATGATCCCATTGAAATACTGCATTCTATATCCTAAAAGAGACCCCATCACACAGATAAACAGAGGGAGGTGGGTGCCTGTACAGAAAAAAGAAAATACTTATATCTCCTGCTACCACTAAACTTCACTCCTTTGTTCAGCAACATAGAGAGTTTAGTAGTGCAGGTATTCTATTTCTTCTTTAAAGCTATGTGCTTTCTTCACTTGAAGCTTGACATTAAGGGGCATATTTATAAATAAAAAAATGAACGTCACAAGCATTTGTCCATCCTTGATGTATTCTGATTCAGTGATTTCCTATGATTGTTAGCGCCATGTAATGACCATAATGTGATAATTTTTATGAAATACTTCAATCAAAAAAGTACCACACTATAGCCACAAGATGGAGCTGAAATCATAGGAATCAGAGGAAATCACTACATTAATACATTCAGAATTTGTCAAGGCTGGGTGAATGCTTGTCACATTTGTTCAACCTTTTTTTAAAACTATCCCCCTAAAACTCACGTACTATTAAGGTCTCTTTACAACAGAGGTTATTCACATCATAGCAGTACACTCACCAGTCACTTTATTAGGTACACTTTGCTAGTACCGGGTTGGACCCCCTTTTGCCTTCAGAACTGCCTTAATTCTTCCAGGCATAGATTCAACAAGGTGTTGGAAACATTCCTCAGAGATTTTGATCCATATTGACATGTTGTCACTGTTGCCTCTCTATCATCTAAATCTGCCCATTCTCCTTTGACCTCTGACATCAACAAGGCTTTTTCGTCCACACAACTGCCGCTCACTGGATATTTTCTCTTTTTCGGACAGGGGCGGACTGACAACTCATGGGGCCCCTGGGCAATAGAGGATCATGGGGCCCCCGTGTCCTTGGCCAAACTCAAAAAAGCCTATGAAAAAGGTACCAGGGGCATCTCATGGGGCCCCCTACTGACCGCGGGCCCTCGGGCAGTGCCCGAGTTTCCAAATGGTCAGTCCGCCCCTGGATTGGACACAGCTGATCAGCAGGTCTTATCCATAACTCATTGGCCAGGACCTACAGACAAATTCGCACTGTGTCCAACCACAGTGTGGATCAGCAGCGCATGCACACGCACCTCAGTCCCGGAACCAAATCTTTCTGTGACCAGGTGGCAGGTGGTTAAAATATTTCCAACATGAACTGAACTCTGGGATTTACACAAAAACACCTTTACAGTGGGCCCCCTTATACCGCAAGGGTTAAATGTTCTTTAAGCCTAGGGGTAGAGAAAACAAAGTGTAGTATCCAACCATATGCTAGGAAAAAAAATATGATGAAATGATTGAAGTCAGTCCAAGTGTACAGTATTAAATATTGGGGGAATTTGCTTTTTTTTACACTAAAGGGTATATTTATAAAAGAAAAATGAAGAGCAATTTGTCTTGTGAAACTGCATATACATTCACTCTGTGTGAATGGTGGAAAAATCAAATGTTATTGGGCTATTTTCTCTCCAGGTTGAATATTATTAATTCATAAGGAATAGAACAGCCATTCCCAACTAGGGTTCCTCCAGAGGTTTCTAGGGATTTCTTGAGCAAAGAGCAATTTTTGCTGCTCTTTTTTTATAGATATACTCAGATTGCTGCAGCAAAGGTTAAAACACCTTGTGATGCCAGGACACCGGTGAGTCGGCCTGCTTGTCTCCCAGACAAAGCAGCAGTCTGACAACCTCCACCACCCCCCAAACTGCTTCAATC